GGGCGGGGCGCGCGCCGCAGCCGTTGAGCGGGCGGCAACGCCCTCCAACCGCCGTCCCGAGCGGCGAGGCCGCGGAAAGGCGCGAGGTAAAACACATATAGCGCTTACGGGAACAACAGCACGAGCGGCGTTGCGAGGACCTTCCTGTCGGCGCGTTTGCTACGCATGGAACTCTTAAGCCTACAGGAAAAGGAATCTACTTCAGCTATGGCCAAGGCCCAGCCTTTGGAAATCTGATACTGCTTTTCAGCAGGCAGAAGGGAAAAGTGGAGATGTCTATCTTGGGGACAAAGCTGGAGGGAAAGTATAACAGAAGATGGTTCTGCTGTTCTCATAGGTGCCTGACTGTTTGGATCGTTGCCATTAAGGCATTAGATACACCATTAAAAATATATAACACATGGATTGGTGTGGATTGCCATGATACATTATTTTCCTACTCCCTGTTTTCTAAGAGCTTGAAGTTGCAGCTAGCTACTTCCAAAATACTTAGACAAAATTAACTGCAAGTCAGTACATGCCTAAATTCATTTTGATTTTTAAATAAATGATTTCTGCATAGTTGTTGCAAAGCAGCAAGGTATTCACTCATGCTGCAACGGTTCACTGTAATGTTGAGACAACATCGAACCACCAGCAGTTTCAGAAGGTGGTGGTGAGAACACTGCCTCTTGTATCAGAGGACCTGTCAAAACCGTGTTTGCAGGAAACAGAGCCAACAAGCGCTAGCACCCAGCTAGCTGCAAATGCAGGGGTTATCAACTTTCTGTATGTTGTTACTGAGTGAGTGGCACGCCACGGTAGGCTTTTGTGTCTTTGCCTGTTTCACCAACAGTGACCACAACACACCCGTTTATCTGTCTGCTCCGACAGGCAATGGATACACAGACAACAGCTCGTGGCTCGCCTGCCAGCTGCTGTCCCAACAGCAGCTCATGTCAAAGGACACTACAAAAAGCTAGATGCTGTTCAACAGTTCTTGCATTAATTTAAAATGTTTTGCTAAAGAATTATAGAATCACAGAATGCTTGAGGTTGGAAGGGACCTCTAGAGATCATCTAGTCCAACCCCCCTGCACACGCAGGGTCACCTAGAGCACGTGGCACAGGACTGCGTCCAAGCGGGTTTGGAAGATCTCCCGAGAAGGAGACTCCACAACCTCTCTGGGCAGCCTGTTCCAGTGCTCTGTCACCCTCACTGTTAAGTATTTTTTCCTTAAGTTCCTGTGGAACTTTTGATGCTTCAATTTGTGGCCGTATCCCCTAGTTCTGTCGTTGGCCACCACTGAAAAGAGGCCAGCACCATCCTCCTCACTGCCTCCCTTGAGGTACTTATAGACACTGATCAGGTCTCTCAGCCTTCTCTTCTCAGGCTGAACAGGCCCAGCTCTTTCAGTCTTTCCTCACACAGCGTAAAGCACAGACATAAGCACCTAGATACAGTCTGAATTGCATGAAATGCTTCTACACAGTCACCAGACAGAATGGGCGCTCACCGGGACAGTTTCTAGCTCATGGTTCCTTCAACTGCAGTGGAGAGACCTCAGAGCAAGTACAACTGTGCTGCTGTGTTGGCATTACCTTCCACAGCATTTTCCTCAAATGAGCCTTCATGAAGCTGAACACGGGATGCACAAGAGAAAAAGCCACATACATGATTAGCATCACTTGTACTCAAGTCGCCAGGACCAACTTCGCAGCATCCATATGCACGTGGAGCAGTATCTTGTGCCAAAAGCTGTTCCACTGAAAGAACACAGGACTGCATACAGGTGCAGGTGCTGCATAAAGTAAATACATCAAAAAGCTGGTACACAGAGTATGGCAAAGGAGGTTAGGAACAGCATAATTAAGGGAAGTTTGATTATATGTAAAGCATTACTGTTTGCTCTGAATCTAATAAAAGGATGTAAAGTTGCGCACACTTAGAAGTGTGATGTAGTGCCTAAAACTAATTTTAACAAGTTGTGCGGTTGCGTCCTAATTTGCATAGTGTAACTTTTACTGTAAGGAATATCAAAATAAATGTCTATTTTGATTTGATTTCAGGTCATCTAGAAATCATATCCTCCTATCGACTACAACAGGATCAAGAGATTCTCAATAATTCCCCAACTCAAGACACACAGAAATTTTTGGAAACTTATGTAAGAAACCTAGAGTTTAAAAAGAGGCAGAAGCAGGGTATTCAAAAGACACAATTTCAGGCATGTCTTTACTGATCAAGATATGAATAAATTAGTCATGTCAATTAAGTGTTTGCTTGAGCATCAAGATGATAAAGAATAGAGTGAACTGTCACCTATATTCAGGTTTTCTTTGATTATGGGGTTGCAGAAGGCAAAACCGAAACTCCTGTCACGAAGTGAAAAATTGAGGAATACCTTTGTGTTAAGTTCTGGCTAGCTTTTTCCATAAGGAGCATGGAAGCTGGGCAGCCACCCAGTATTTGGATGAGAGAGAACCTGCAATTCCAGGCATTTGTGGGCACAAATGACAGAGATACAAATGAACACCAGACTCACTGAGTGAAAAATGACCAACTCCTCTTTCAATATCATTATTTAGGAGACAAAAGTTGAGGAAGTACTGCCTAAAATATGGAGGCATATGCATGGAAAATACAGGGTTCTTTCAAAATCCAAGACTGATTAGCAATTTGTTAAATAGTGTTCTGCATTCTCCACAAAAAAATATATATTTCTTTACATTCCAGTATTTTAGGAAAACATAAAAGAAACTGAACCCAGGAGTAAAATACTCTAGAGGAAAAACATTGAATTTGCATTATGTTTTTCACATTTGTAAGTGCCAAAAATTAGGAAAAGGTTTGAATTCTCAGTGAACACTAGCAGACCATGATATAAATAGCCCTTTTTTTGCAGAACACTTCTTTTTTTTAAGAAAAAATAAATTCTGATTCCACTTTTCTGAAGTATTAACAGATGGTGCTCTTCAAATGTTAATCTTAAATCTCATACACAAATATCAGATTACAGAAGGCTCTTTCCTATACCAGATTTCTTTAGATTTCAAATGTCTTCCCGCAACAATATAATCTTCAAAGACTTAAGTGTAGTCAGAGCTTAGATTTAAATTAAATATATATAATATTTTATTGTCATAATCACAAGAATTTACTGGACCCAGTCTTTATGGCTTTGTTTCTGAAAAGCCATAGCAAATAATACTTACCATAAAAATTCAAAAAAGTATTCCAGATATTTAGAACAGTTAGTCTTTTGTACTTTTTACTTAAATATCAACAATGCCTGTATTCACTGCAGTGCTGAAGCTGATGAGAAGAGTACATTTTGAACAGTAACCCTTAAAATGTTGCTCCATTCCATTCACAAGTGATCAGGCAAATTAAACTTCAACATACACTACACTCGCACGTAAAGGTACTGACTTAAACAAAACAAAACAAACAAAAAACAAAACAAACAACAAAATCCCCCGGGAGTTTCATTTACAGGAAACAAAACCCTACCATTTAATTGCATGAAGACATAAAACACTGTGTTGATTTTTCATGTTAGAACTGTCCTACAAAAATCAGAAAACTTTATCTCCCACTTTTATTAATCTCAAATTCTAAAAATGAGAGCTATTCATATGATATTGGATGGCAAAAGACTTTGATACGTTAGAAATATGAAGGAAGTGGAAAGAACTCGCAGAGCAACTGTCTTAGTAAGATGTTGTGCTATTTGTACTAAAGAGCGTGAGAGGTTTGCCTGGGGCAGAGCTCCATGGGTTACAGAAGATGAACACTCTCCCTTGGGGTGCAGAGCAAGTTGTTCACATTACTGCTCAGTCCCCATATCCTATCTGCATCTAGGACAAAAAAAAAAATAGCAGTAGTAGGTGGGTCACGATGATGCCATCCTGCAACATTTAGCCCACAAGTCCAACAATACTTGAGACAAGCCACTCGCAGTTGCACAGCTTCAGCAAGAATAAGATTTACTCCCCGAGTGCAGACTTCAAGATTTCGTAACGACACGAAGCCCGTCAGAATTCCACCCCTGCATTCCTGCAGAGACTGGGACAAACAACAAGCTGGCGAGACGGAAGCCTCTGGGTGAGCGCATGTTTGAATGAACAAAGCAGGCACTGTTGAGGAGGGAGATCCTTCCGTCCCTGGCCGGAATACCAATGCGGGTGCACAGCAAAGCAGAGCAGGAGAAGGCAGGCGCCCAGCCGGGCGCGCGCTGACCTCCGGCGGGACACGGCTTCGCCCGGACACGGTGCCAGCACAGGGGCTGGCACGGGAGCAGACCAAAGCCGGAGTTACTTGCCTTGGCTCACTTCAAGGAAGTGCACAGGGCAGCAAGGCTACTAGCAACATGACGCACAACACAGACCGGCCTCCGCAGCTCTACTAGGACATTTTAATAAGCTAAACTGGTAAGGAATTTGGTCTTAAATGCTAAGAAGACATTTAAGATATGCATATATTTTAAGCAGAGCTTGACCACAGCGTGCCCAGGATAGTGTGGTCCCAACAACCCTGTTTGGATAAAGACTCCTTGCCCAGCAGTACCAGCTCACTATGATCCCCACGCCAGAAACCGGCTCAACTAGAAGGAGCACTCACAGGGCTCAACTACAAACAAGTAGTTGACATTTAAGAACTTGCCATCTAGCCACCTGCCAGTCAGGCACTTAGCCTTTTCCAGGGAGCTGTGGTAGCTGATAAACTGTATTCCTGTGTATTACAGGACAAAAACACGGGCACTGACTGAAGTCACTGCTAGCGCGGTTCTAAAGCAAGCCCCAAGGAGCCGGGCAGAGCGCCGACGGTAGCGGGCCGCGGGAGCAGGAGCAGCAGCGATATTGAGCCGATGCTGCTAAGCAGGAACTCGTGCTCATCCCCGGGACAGGTTTCATGGCCCTGATCCCCAAGCAAGGAGCTACCAGCAGCACAAGGTCAACAGGATGGAAACAGCAGAGAGACAAGGGGAAAAAAATACAAAAAATCTAAGCCGATTTGCTGAGCATAGGTGAATTCTTGATTTTGACCATCTGTTCTTACAACCCACCAGTTACGTTGTTGTTATTCCATATAATACTACATTGAATTTTAGCTCCTTTCTTCAATTATGCTGTTCACATTCTGTTGTGGCAGCAAAGACGTGTAAGAATAACGCACAGACTAATCACACTAAAAGCCACCAGTTAGGAAGAAGAGCGCAGCCAAACAAGATGAATATACTGACTGTATATTGCCTGGAAGTTTTACAGTTTAACTGGTATCTATCATTAGCATCATTACTTTCATATTTCCATTTTACTCTTATGCTCAAAAATGTGCATTTTCTTGAATGCTATGCTTTTAATTGCCATTTCCATGCATGCTAACCATATACACATTCATCTATGTTGAAGTGTAAGACTTGAATGCACTGGTTAAAATGCTAGCAACCTATTTCCCAATAAATCTCCTTAACTAGGTCAAAGTCCTAGTTTGCACAGTGCTGTGGAATCTTTTTGTTTATTGGAGATGTTCAAACTCTACAGACAGAGAAGTCAATTCATTTTTTTTTCCTAACCCTTCACATGGATGTCTGAAGTAACGTGAAACTGCTAACCTTTTGAGAATATATCTGCATTTGCAAGAATAAGAAAACTCCATCGGATTTATAATATAAATATTTCTTGAAAGGGCTTTTGTTCATCTCACACTTCTTGGAATGAAATACGTTGAAGTGCTGACTATACAATAGAAGACGGACACAGAGCCCAGGAAAACACGCACTTGAAAACAGCTTACTACAGGAGGCAGTGAAAAACCACTGCTTCCATGCAGGCACATACAGGCATCTGGGCCTTTCAAGACTGGAAATAAAACCCCTCTTCTGAGAGCAAAACGGGAGGCAGAATAAGATTACACTGAATTTATCTTCTCGCAAAGCTCACTGTGTGTGTCAAAATCCAAATCACACTCTGGTGGCGCTCTCAACTACGAATGTGCCACTGGATCACGTTGCTAATTTGCCATCACTTTTCAGTCTCTTTTACTATACATTGTATGTCTCACAAAACTATTTCATAATTGGGACCACTCCCACCACCTCCCCCGATATTCTAAAAATATGTATTTATCTTCTTGCTGAGATTCCTCTTATACTGGTCTTCATACACATATGAGCAGTCCTACCTCATTCTGGATCTGTTTTTCTTCAAATGAAGGGCCTTAACTGCTCCTCATTCCTATCTGGGTGGCACTGCTGCTATTACTGCTTCCCTCTAGCCCTTGGCATGGTGACTGGTACAAATGGATCCTTTTGCCTACTTTTTCCCTGCAGGTAAGAGAATTTCAGGAGGTGCTTTAATGGGGATTAAGGAAAACCTAGGCAAAGCAATACTTTTTTTTTTTTTTAAAAAAAACTTAAATACAAAATAGTCCAGTAAAACTTTTAAGAGCAGAAAAGCTGTATCGAAGAAAAATGACATATGGGTCACTCCTGTAGAAGCTGTTTGCCATTTTCCCTGACTCACCTTTTCCTTCCTCTTCTTTACATATACCTCATTCTTTGTATTCACCATTGTCCTTTTTACAAGGGATTAAATTCTAAAAAGTTTTAAGAAAGTTTCCTGTTCTTTAATTCTCTGGAAATGAAACAAAGATTTTTTAGGTTTCTACCAGAGAGGCAAATATCTATGCAGAATAAATTACTTTGACTTTGTAAATTTACTTGCTATTGGAGCTGTTCATTTCCTTTAGGAGGCTGTATAATTTCGGCTTCTTCCATCTTACCCTCAGTTTAAGAAGTAAAAAACCTTCCTAAATTATAACTCAAATCAAAATGCATAATTAAAGGTTCAGCTTCCACATTGCAATGGGAAGATAACAATAATTCCATGGGCAAATGGCTAATTTTCTTATTCATCTTGTTTTGTGAAACATCTCCTATTCACTACAAAAATTCATTACAAAAATTACAAAAATTCTGTAGATTCACCTTTTTCTGCAAAGAAGTGGCTCAAAAAACGGGCAATAATCCTATGGCTAATATGCAAAGAAACCAATGTGGGATTTCAGCCCCCTGTGCGGAGAAACAGAACTCATAAGAAAATATCTGGAGTAGTTTATTGCAATTGAAAACCCCTCCACCCTTTAGCACCATTTTCCCCATAGATACATAGGGATATTCTACTTAGAGAACAAAGAGAAAAAAGTAAACAGTGTATGAAAACACACTTGAATCCCAGAACAATACAGCCTGTCATTTAACACAGTTGTTTGGCTCCTCATTTGTCATATTGATTTAAGAAATGGCATATACATAGTATAACAGGGTTCAAGAACATTGAGAAACATACCAAAAAAAAATCAGATAAACACATGTTCCTGAATTCATACAATATAATGAGAAAGAATTAGAACTGTATTTCACCATATTGAAAGATGAGAAAACACTGCTTAAAAAGCATTTTTTCCAATAGTCTAGCTTTTCAAGTTGAATATTTTAATAATAAATCACTGAGCATTATAGTGTTTTTGTTTAAAAAGTGTTTTCACTTTAATGGGTTTAGTTAATAACATCACGAATGGTACAAAACTTGTCCTTTTTCACATTTCCATACATTGTGTAACGGACCATCTGAAAATCTGGACTAAGAATGCATAAAGTGTCTCTTATTAGCCCTAGCTCATTTTTGCCATATGTAGAGGAGATACGCAGAAAACATGCATTTGTTAACGGCGACATGTTAACCTTAGCTTAAACAATAAGATATGGCAGAACGTGCATTATGTAACGCACGGGTATGTAACAGGGTAAGAGAAACCAAATGTCAAGTGTTGACAACAAAATAAGAAATGACTGATGACACATTGACATTTCACGACCATAGTTTTAGCTTTTATGTTTTAAAATTGTTTTAAATAGTAGTAAATATTTAAATAATATTTAAAATATATTTCCCCCTATGGAAAGCATTTACTTGGAAGACAGCTTGTAAGATTTGCTTTTTTAAAAAGTAGTATTCCATTTAGACAATATATGAATAAGATATATGTCACAGAACTTTAGAGACCCTAAATTTCTCAGCCATTTTCAGAGACGGTTTTTAAATCCAATTTTGTCTGTTTTCTAGCAAAACTTTGGAAATAGCATCTCAAAGAAAACCTGCCCTTAAGAGAAATACTGTATTTCAATAAAAACAAACCTGATGCAAGTATGGATGCCATATTTAAGGAATAGATGGTGGAATTAAAAACCAAATAATTCATCATGCAGTTAGTTTCATTAATTCCTAATCTGCTAATTCATAGTCTACGGAGAGTTTTGTTCCTTCCTAGTGCATCTTCTCTTGCAGTCAAATGAGTGCTCAATTTCCACGGTCAGCGGATGTTAAGGGATGAAGACCTCACTGTTACTTCAATAAAGAAAGAAGATTGAGGTGTGGGTGCAGAAATAATTATCTAAAATGCAACAAAACAAAGTAAAATATTTGTGTGAAAACTAATTTGTACACTGATTTTTTTCCTAAGTTTGCTTCAGTATAAATATCCTCTTCAACCCCACTAACAATGCTTTACTTTGCTTTATGATCCTTCACATACTTGAGAGTTCCATTTTCACTCCATTCTCACGTGGTAACTAGTAATCCGGCCACAGCGCTGCAGCCCAAGACGAAGACAGAAGTTCCCTTACAGGAATCTTTAGTAGGCTGGGGACTCATTCAAGACAGCTTTTTCCTATCTTTTATAGGCACAGTGCTTCGTTCACTGGCTTTGGGAATAAAAGAAACAAAGTAAGCCAGGTGGCCTCTATGGCAGTGCAGAGCATCCTGGCAGCATCATTAAATCTGGTTGTTTCTTAAATCACCTGCTTTTTAATAATAACCAACTACTCCAAAAGCTTCTAATTTCTTTTTCAGTATATGCGGGCTTGGATTAAAACAACTGGCTTCCGAAGGCTACTTCTAGATTAAGAAGTCCACAGGAAGCACGTAGCAGTGGCATATAAATCATTCCATAAGCACAGAAACGTCTCTCCGTGAGTGACTCACAGTCATATTAGAAAGGGAGACACCAAGTCTTGTAAGTTCCGTACGTACAATCAAAGAGCCAACTTTTTTGCTCCCTCAGCCTGCATCTAACCACTTTCAAAGCCACCGATCAGGAGCTGCACCACAGGGTAACGCGATAACCCCTCTCAGGAGCCCCGCGAGGCGCTGCCGCCGCGGGCACCGGGGCGGGCACCGGGCCCAGGCCTGCTACGCCTCTGCTACGCGCAGCCACGTTGCGACGGTCCTACCACAGCACTCCCGCTGCTGGCAACGTCAGCGCTTGCGGCCGCTGCGTAAAACTTGGCTCCTACCCGGCTTAACGCAGAAGGACCAAAACGGCAACTCTCCCACCCTGTATCTACCTTGCTTGTTCCTGTTAAAATTAATTAGCTTCGTGACTGTACAACAGTCTGCGCAGTCTTCCTAAATCAAAACCCATTCGCTCCCCTTGATTATTGCAGACATAGCAGTAGCACGGATAGGGAGCTCCCTTTTTACAGCAAAAAGGCTATCAAGAGGCTTCTAAAAAGGCAGGGGCACATACCCATTTCCATTCTTGACTCAGTCTGTTCACTGTAGTCTGCATACAGATTTTAAAGGAGAATTATTGCTTTTAAAAGACGAAAACCTTTGGAAATATGGTAAACATCCTACAAGGTTCTAAAACTAATCAGCTAAAATTCCATATATACTTTAAATTTCAAACCTCTATTTTATTACTGAAGATCAAATCATTTCATTTTCACATCTATTCATTAAACATTTCAAAGTTCTACAGTCTAATGAATATTTAACATCTAAATACAATCAAAACAGAAAATGGGGAAATAGGTCACATGGCAATGAAGATTATTTCATTTGGCCAATGAATAGTGAACCCTGCTTTCTTGGCTGAAATTAAGGCACTAAGTGGCAGTGAAAGGATAAAGGATTTTTTTTCTACATTATCTGAAGAACAACAGGCCTATTTTTTTTAGGACCCCAGTAGATCACGTCTCCATCCTGAATGACTCGTAAGGCATTCTGCTGGCAAATTTAAAGAAAATGTTCTCCTGATTAGAGCCCATTACATTCATTGTCTAAGTGTGACTAGTGGCAATACTAACTGTTAACAAACTGGAGGGAAAAAAATAGCTACAAACAGATGTTTGAAGACTTGAAAGGCACCAAGAAGAGAACAGCTCTGCGACTGCCAGCTCTACAAACAACTATGAAAGCTGTGTTTAACACTGCATATAGTCTATTCAATCATCAATCTTTGTTGACGAAGATAAAAGTGTAGTAGTACCTCATTTAAAACTCTCAGTTAATCAAGTGCTAGTTTAGTAAGAAATTTATTTTCACATATTGGAAAATAACTGCAGTGTCTAACACAACTACACTTAAAGCAAAACTAGTCTAGAATGCATTATTCTGGTTAACACTGAAGCAAACCTGTATAAACAAAAGGGTTACCTCAAGATATATAGTTTACAATATGAAATCAACATATAAATGAATAGGATTTACTGAAAACAATGGAAAGTGTATTACAAAGATACATGAAACAATTTTAACCACAATATTTCCTCTGTGAAAAATACAACTATTAGTGAGATAAAATGTACAATTGAATTCTTTTTTTTCCAAAAGAAAAAAAAAACAGTATAAAGGAAAATATTTTTTTTTCTTCAAAACAGGGAAAATAGTTAAGGTCATTGTCTTTCATTACAATATACTTTGACACAAAAAGCAGTCATAGGATTGCACCAACTCCATGTTCAGTCTTCTGAACATGACAATAGTAAAAGGAGTCCATAAAGCATAATGACATTACTGTTTTTTCTTTTGTTTTGTGTTTTAATGATGGCATTATATGTATGCAGGAACTGGTCACTCCGACTTTGTTCACAAAATGTACAATACTCTAAATTTGGTGGCGAGATATACGTGAGAATTAGTTCACCCCAACGCTGACTTTTTCCTGTTGCTTAGTCAAAGATGGAAAAAATCTGTAGTGTTTTAAGTGTTATCTTTTTAGCAATAAAGAAAAAGGTATACGTAGTGCATGCTTTATCTTTTGTCAAAAACATTTCTGAAAATAAAACTAAGTTATCCAATAGTTTATAAAATAGAAAATAATTCTTCTGGTTAAAAATGTGGTTAGGTTTACGTTTAGTTCCATCTCCAAAGGACTGATTTCCTTGGCAGCATCACTTTTCCTTAGCAAGAGCCAAGGCACAAAGTTCCAGAAAGAGAAATAAAAATGCCTATGAACAAGAATGCAGTCTGGCATTGTAAAAGAAATCAGAGCCTTTCTCTGAGCTTTCTGTTCCCTCAGGTTAGTGCCGTAGAAAAATGTGAG